TTTGTGCCAGCTGTTTTCGTGGTATTCATCATGACGTTGCCAGCTGCTTGGATTGCTCTTCCGGAACAGTTCACCGTGTGCTTGCCTGCTTGCTGATTGGCGCACCTTGTTGTTTGCTTGTTTGCGTTTGAATCTTGATGCTTCCGCAGTTTGTGGTTTGCTACTGGTCGTGTCACTCAACCATTATCGGCCGTTTCCTTTGCCCTTTTACGAGAATGTCGTTACCTACTACACTCCATCTCGTCGCAGATCAGTATACTAGTGGCAGGACTACAACGTCTTGAGGGTCACCAGCGCCATCCGCAACCACCGCTTCCTCCCGTTGTGCCCACCGGTCCTCCTGCGGTCCCTCCAGTACCGACGGTCCCCGAGGTGCTCCCACCGCTCCCGCCACCTTCGATGCCGGCACCGACATCTCCTAAGGCATCGTCAGCGAGATGAACTTTCACATCGATGCCTATCACGTTGGTGGCTACGTCTACCAATCTAGCGGAAGCTGCTGATCTCATTAAACCAGTCAGCGACAGTGCATCCAGGGAGCGCAACAGGCGAAGAAGGTCTAGGAGGCGTGAAGCGCATCGGTACCGATCTCGAAGGCGCAGTCATCGCAGACGACCGCTTACTCGTCGGGGCCCTGCCCTAACTTCGGACCATCGCGGTGCAGCACCGAAAGCTCCTCCTGCAGTTAAAGCCATGCCAGCGTGTCGTCCCTCCGGACTCACACGCGGCCGTTGAAGCTCGGCGCACGGTAAAAGGTATTCAGCTCTCAGATGCAGCCGAAATACATGCCAGTTTGAGTTGCTTGTGGTGACTCGCAGCCGCCTCTTGCTTGTGTTGTCCTTGCATTGATTACGCTTGCCATGTGTGTCTCCGGGGTTGTGAATAACCTGGTCGCTGTGCTCAACGTTCTCGCCTCCCAGATTGCCACAGCTTTGGACACCTTGAACTTTGCCCTTGCGGTAGATCGGAATTCGGAATCCGATCCCCGGATGGTTCCCAGGCCGCCACGCAACTCAAGACACGGGCTACGTCCACGCATCATCACGGAGCGCATCACGTCAGACCGGTCGCGCGCACCACCTCGCACTAGGACTCTGCCCTTGGACACGTCCTCGACCTGGCACATGCCTGAGCTGTCGCCCCCTCGAGATGTACGTCGTGAAGTTCCAGGCCCGGGAACAGAACATTATCTTCGTCCAGGTGCTCTTGTTGATCGGCTTCCCCAACCAAGAGTGCCTGCTCCCATCGCGGCAAACACCGATCGTGGACCGGTGATGACGCCTTCTTCTACTCCGGATTCGGATTCGGACGGTTCTGTCCGTCCCCATCCTGGTGCTTCATCGTTTCGCCCGTCACCAACAGTGGTACATGGCCGTCGGGAACTTCTGCAGGAGTTCACCATTGCCCTCCGCAATGCGTACCATGAACCATTCACGGCGTGGACACAAGGTGAGCTGGATGAGATGGTCAGGTGCAAAAAAGACAAGGACGCCAGACCCACCTACAAGACTATTGCCCGCTCCCTCCAAAAGCCCGCGGAGGAAGTCAAGCAAGCATGGAAGGTTTATCAGCAACTTGAGGCACTCAGCTAGACACCTTTGCAGCGTTGGCGCCGTCAAAATATTTCTGCGTGGTGGTGTATTGAGTCGGACTTGTTGTCTTGCTTTCCTTGTCTTGCTGTCTTGAGTGTTCAAGTCATGATGGAACAAAATGTTCAGACGGTCATAACCTGGACCCATGGAGCGCAGCCGACGTGGTTGCAGTATCACGGACCCTCACTTCATGATCACCTACCGGGAGTTCAAGCGGAAAGGCTAATGCGGGTGCCGGTACCACCGCCACCTCCACCACAGTTGGTTCTACCTCCTCCACCACCACCACCGCCGCCGGAGATCCTCCACCCACAGTTTTTGCCCTCATTACGGACATCACCCACTTCATCCCCCCGAGGACAATCCTGCCCGGCTACTATGACCTCTGAACGCACACGTCGGTCAGGTCGCAGCGCGGACCAACTCAGTGCTGATGATCTTCGGAGCTTCACGCGCGCTCCAAAGCGCACTCGCACATTGAAAGGTGCCGCATCAACCACTGCAGAATACTGCAGAGCACTATTCTCGACGACCCTTCACCGTGTTCACTCTCAAACGGTCTACTCGTGCTGCACGGTCCAGAACTACAAGATGCAAGCATGACTGCCATGCCTTTATACATCATGGACGGAAGTGTCTTTCCCCTTGTGTGAGACGTCAACCAGGACACTTCCATTGCAGATGCGCACGTCATCAACGACAGTGAAGAGGTGCCGTGCAGCCTTGTGTGTGAAAAGATGGTCCGCATTGCTTGCTGATTGTGCATGGGTTGTCTTGCGCTTCTCCCATGTTTGTTCTCTCGCAGACCCTTTCTTTCACAGAGACGCATTCGGTTGTCATGCTCAATTCGACATTTGGAAACGAGAGATGGGCCTTCCCGCGCTACTTTGAGTACGACCTCGTGCGTGGCCCTGGGAACTCAAGAGTGGAATGGATTCGTGTTTGCACACCGGGCATGTGGCAGCCTGTGGCAGAATCCACCTTAGGCCCAGCTCCGGACCACGCGTCCACATATCGTGAATGGCGCAGAGTCTACCACTTTGACGTGTGTTGGCCTTGTGCCAGCACAGGAGGCACCACTGCGGATGCCCTCGCACTGCCGGTCTCCTACGTGTCCTTTTGCACTTTACACGTGGCAATATCGAGATTGGCACACGCGGGGATACCAACGCCTTGGTGACCCACATCCAAGCATTGGATCGCCAGATCTCGTGTACGCTGGATTGTCGTCCTCGTTGGCGTCTTCGGTTCCGGATGGCGCTTGGCGTGAACCTCATCCCCCCACCGAGCTACGATCCTAAGTTTGACTGGGACGAGTGACATTGATGCCTGGGCAGACTGTTGCTTAAAACATTGTGCTTGTTGCGTCTTGCGTCTTGAGTGCATTGTCTGGGGCCTTGAGTTTGATTGACTTGTGCCGTGTTGGTATCCTGCAGCCATGTGCATCATTGATCGATCATCATGCCGTGGCTAGAATGGTGCCCTGATCCTCAGCGACCTGACGCTCAATGGGTTAAGATTTTCCATCCAGGGGCATGGACACCACAAGACGAACGTGATGACCCTCCTCTCGTCATACGTACAGGGAATGGAAAGAGTTCTATGCCCCAAATCATGCTCATGACGGTGTTCAACCCGCTGATCGTACTTGGTACAAGCGGGACTGGACCACAGAAGGTTACCGGCGCGTCGCAGCTCCTGAACCTGACTACGGCTTCAATTCGATGTTTTACCCCGATCAGCACAACGTGGCCGGCTTTGTGCATGTCTACGCAGATGTTGGATGCGATTCTCCGATCTTCGGATGCATCGGCTTTCTCTACTGAGGATCTCACTCGTCTGCAAGCAGGGATCGGTCAGCAGCTGTCGGATCGCGCGCGTCAAGCGTCGCCACCGCACCAAGCAGTGCGTACGTCTCGGGGCGCTGATCCGCCTGAGTCTACTCGGGTCGCTGATCCCTATCTGCCCGCAAGCCAACCTAGCAGCTCTGACGCCAAGGAGAAGCCCATCTTCGAACTAGTTGCTGAGTAGACAGATGAGTTTGGACCGTGGTACAAAATGGTGCTTTCATGTCTTCTTGCTTGCATGTGTGTTTGTTTGTTGTGCATCGTGACTGTTTCCTTGCTAGCTGGATCGGAACCTGTGGTGCGCCCTATCGTTCACTTCGACATGGATACAGATGATGCAACTCAGACGTCGGCCCGGACTGACATTCAGCACCCGTGGCTGGAGTATTCAGTCTGGCAGGAACGTGAGTGGGTGCGGATCTATATTCCTGGACAACCTCAGCCATGGCACCCGGATGATGAAGTGCCTGACCTGCCAGAGAACACGTTTCGGGAGTGGAAACGGGTGACCGCTCCAGGTGAGGAGACTCATGAACCAGGCCAAGCATGGACGCTTCGAGATTGGCAGCATCAAGGTTACCAACGGGTATTGACCCGCTGTGAGTCCTTCTCCACCCACCATGCTCTGCATCAACCACTTGCTGGCTTACACAATCCGGACATCTCCATCCAGGTCGAAAAACTGGGTCCCCAGCATGGTCTTCGTCAGCAAAACCGCGGAATGATGGATATGTTCACCTACGCCCCACCCATGTCCGACGTTGCACATCCATCATCTCTGCACCTTCCGCCGGTCTTCTATGGCGGCACACTTCCTACTCAACTTGGAGATCCTTCGTCCCCGTCTTCTGAGCGGCATTGTACAGAGCGTGCAATTTCTCGTTCTCCCCGCCGCAGTGGATATTTTGGTAGACGTTAGGGAGTTGAGTACGTGATCTTCTGGATGCAAAAGAGAATGTACACCCCTCTTGGAGGGGCGTGTGTGTGCGGAGTGTCAGATTTACCCTGACACCACCTTTCTCGACGAGATCATGTTTGTCGCAGGGGGCGTGGCAGCCATCTTCCTAGCCACGCCAACGAAGCTATGGAAGTTTGGCCGGAAGCGTTGAGGGACGCCTCAATGCGTACCTGCAAGTGATCTCTGAATGTCTTTTTGGCCCCCTTGGTTGCGGCGCTGTTTGTGTTTCTTGTTCTTTCGGGTAACGTTTTCGTTACTAGAGGGAAGCCGAGTGCATCGCGAGCCGAAACTCATCGTACTCGAGACTTATCAGTTGTACTCGAGACTCATCAGTTGTACTCGAGACTCATCAGTTGTACTCGAAGGATTAGCACCCTCCCTTGGGAGTTGAAGTGTGTGTGTGTGTGTGTGTGTGTGTCTGTGTTGGTTTGGTACGATTTTGTTCTTCATTTTTTCCGTTGGTTGGTTTGGCTTGTGGTTTGTTACGGTGTGCTTGTGTGTGCACGTGTCGGCAGTTTGTCCCGTTGGCAAGTGGTACCACGACCCTATAAGTAGCCGACCCAGTGGTTTGGCCCGTGCCGTGTCATAAGTGAAGCCAGCCAGGCACGCCGTACACAAGCAGCCTGAGGCGACTTGCCTGCACATTTGTTTGTTTGCCGCGAAAAGTCAGCGCAAAGGCTCCCATTGCCTCCGAACCCCGGTTGGCAAAACAGAAGAGCTCTTGGCGTGTGTTTCTCAGGTTGGCTCTTCAGATGCGGCGGCACTTCCTGCTTGCTGCTGAGCCTTGCTTGGCTTAGTTTGGTGGGGCGGGCATCGAGGCGCTGTTGGCTAGCATTTCAGTTTTGGTCCCAGAATCGTGGGCTGAGAGCCGTGAAGGGCATGAGGGACGCGTTGCCTGTAGCAGACAGTGTGACATATTACAAAAGGAGGCATTTGCTGTCGAGCCAACAAGGAGAGAGAGATAGGACCACCAGGACACATTCAAGCTTGCTCAAACTGGCAGACGAAAAGGAAGATCTTCACGAACTCGATATTCCAATGTCGGGTGGGCGGGCCAAGTTTCACACAGCCGAAGACACACGTACGGTCTTTGTGCATTCGCCCCGCCAAGTCACTCTTTCAGACAGAACTAGCTGTCTCAGATCCGGTACAACTTTCGATGACTCAAGCACAGAACAGTGTCAAATTTGCAGCAGACAAAGTTGCAGAGATCATGGCTTCCAGTGAAACCATGGCTAAGACTGCGGCTAAGAGAAGTGATCCGTGTGTATCTGTATGGCTACGGCGCATACGAAGTTCGATGCTAGACGGTCAAGCGGAATTTGTTCTGCTTCGCTTGAACATTGAGGCTGGACATGGCTGCGGCTCCCAAAGGTGAAGTGGGTTTTCAGCAATGAATGCACACACATTTAATCTGAAGCCCAGCTTGAGTCAGCAACACCTCACTTTTCAAGCAACAGCACGTTTCCGTCACCAGTAGTGCAGCCTTGGAGAACAACATTAACTGTGCATGCACCTAAGGCAAGTCAAACTGCTTGCTGTTGTCCTAGGCAAGTGGCGATGATGTAAGCGGCTTCACCAAGATGGCCTCCGGCAAAGTAGATTTTGAGAGCCTCGGTGTTTGCACGCCGCGTTGCAGCCTCATGGGCCTCAGGGAGCTTGGGCCCATTGGGGGGGGGTCGTGGCTGAGGAAACAGTCTTTCTCACGCCGCTGCAAAAGGCTCATTGCGTCGGTGAGCCATGCCATACACTTCAACCAGATAAAGGCTTGGGGATGTGTGTTCGGGTTTTGTGCGCTGTGCCAACTTGATCTTGAATGTCAGCCTTGAGGCGGGAGAGAGACTCAAAGATATTCTGGGAATTCAGAGTGATACAATTGTGATGGAATCTTCGCTGCATTCCCTGCCATAGCCCATTGCAGAATTAGTGCATCTTGGCAGTGCGCAGGGGTGGGCTGCGCAGTAGTAGGATTTGCAATCCACACCACAGGAGTGGCCATTCTCCTTGGTGCAGAGGCTCAGGGAGGTGGTATCTCGCCATCAATCTCGGGTATCCCGAGTGAAGGCGGGAGTCGGGCTCAACAGCTTGGTGGTCATAACATGCAAGGCGAACCCATAAGCCAACACTGTTTTGGCGTATCTAAGTCTTCCTTTCCCTTGGAGTCAAAAGCTAGAAGCTTCGTCAGAGCTTAGCGTCCCCAATTTCGAGGTGGTGATCTGTGAAAGTTTACTCCTTGCGTTGTTTATGCGGGCTTGGACTACTACATCCATACTTAATAACTGCGATTTTCGAGCTGGAGCTACAAAGGTGGACTTCGCTGTGTTAAGCGTATTCCCCCCACACTTGACGGCAAAAATGCTTGGGATGTTGGGAGCAACAGTACGGGATGACCACTGGGAATCGTGGACGTTGGGCTGATAAGGGTCAGTGCTTGAAGCAAAGAAATAAGCAAAGAACTGCAACACAGAAATGAAAATGGTTGACAGGACGCCTCGAGGGTTGCAGCCAGTTTGCAAAATTTGGAAGGGCAAACAATGCCAGCACCCTAATCCGGTGGACAGTTGCTCGCTACTGTACTGTAGCAGTTGGAAGTTTGCTCGGGTTCAACATTAATTAATTTTGTCACAAATGACTGGGGATGCAACACCACCTTTTTGAGGCAACCCTCCCTTGACGTCAAGCCAAGGCACTTGTTTGGCAGCGAAAGCAAGGGCACGTAGAACAAGGTGCATTTGTTTTTTTTCCGATAACAATAGCCCAAACTGCAGGGCCCGACAGGCTTCCAAGGATCCGGGTGTAAACTCAAGAGGCCCCCCTGCCATGTAGACGCTCAACTAGCATTGCATTCTTGGCAATGGGAAACATGGATCTATATATGTAAGCAAGTTCAACTTGCAATTCGCATCAGGCCTTATTTCTTTCACAAAAAGGGCACGCATGATCATCCATGGTCAGATTGGGCCTAAGGCTCAAACACTTTTGAGTAGCACGTGAGTGATGATTACATGTTTTGTGTTTCAATTCATTGCCATTTTGAATGCACTCGGACTGCGGGGCTTCACGCCAGGCAGAGTGTTCAAAACGAAAGGCGGCTTTCTTTGTCAGGGGGTGATGTGCGGAAGCAAGTCCCTCTGCAGCCAGAAGACCTGTTGCCGAAGGCTGGACGGCCTCCAGAAGAATCTATGCCTCCTTTCCCTCAAGGGGCGCAGATCCCCAGACAGCTGGCGCCACGCTTCCTGGACTTCCTCCCGTTATGCCAGGCCCCATGTCACACATGTCACCTATCCCGTGCTCGGTGATCGGTTCAGATCGGTACAGATGCTTGAAGCTTCAGCCAAGATTTGCAAGAGTTGCCAAGCAGATTGATTTGCATTGTCAAGCACATTTGATTCACAAGTTGTCGACAAGCCATGGCATGGCTTGAAGCACCTGTGATGCTACTTGCGACTGTTACGGCAGGTCATGGCCTTCTCGGCCGCCAGCTCCTCCTCCTTTGATGGGGCCTGCGACTCGCTAAGACTTCGCCTTGCAAAGTTCCAGTGGGCGGATTTCCTGGGCCCCCCACGCATCTCAAGATCAGGACCCGGTGAGTCCTGCGGGTCCAGAGATTCTGGTTTGTCCATAGCGTTGCTCCGCTGCTTCACGCAGGACGTGCTGTGCAAACCACGCAGGCCGCGCAGGCGGAAATCAGCCACGTGCCATGTGTGCCATGTGTGGCATGTGTGCCATGCGTGCCATGCGCGCCATGCGCGCCATGCGCGCCATGCGCGCCATGTGTGCTTTGGCTCTGTTGGCGCCAGCCACCCAGGCGCAGAGGTTGCTTGGCCTGCTGGGGGCGCCTCACTGCTCTGAGTGCTTTCAGGAGCTAGATTTGTGTGAGGCCGGGGCCTCAGATGCGGGCCTTAAGCACATGTGCATGCAAATGCACTCCCTGGAGAGGCGCCGAAGCAGGCGGGGGACATGTTGAGTGTGGGCTGCTCAGCTTGGCTCTTGAATGTTGCTTGCGCTAGGCCTTGGTGCCAAACCTGCTGACACCAGTTCTGGCAAACATGCCCAACCTCCTCCTCCTCAGGCTGCCCTACCTTGGCAAGGACTCCAGACTGCTCGCAAGAAAGTCGCCCAAGGAGCATCCCCAAAAGCATCGAAGATGCATTTACCTTTCCGGAGCCTGCCGGAAGTCCCGCAAGCTGCCCAAGGCCCAAATCCCGGTCGGCAAAGCCCCCATAGCTCTCGTTGCTTCCACATAGCGTTTTCGATTCGACGTGTGCTGGTCATGTCACACAGTGCAAGGAGTGGGAGAAGCTAGAGCTGAAGAAGGTGTTGCAAGGGTTGCCGGCTGGAGCTTCCATGGAAGTTATGAGCAAGGAAGGAACAGTCCTGTTTCAGGGAGTCCAAAGTGCTTCCCTTGACATTGGCGGAGTGCACAAGAGGTTGCCCCGGTCTCCTGGAGAGCGCAGAAGTTGCAAACACCGAATCCCAGAGCAGGGCTTGAGTGCTTGCTGAAAATCAGTTGATGGTGGTCTTTGCTTGGTGCACTGCCCGCATGCGCATCGCAATTGGACAGGAACCTCCAAAACGGCTGCGAGTTGAGCCGCTTTTGCGCATGCAGGAGTGTCGAGTTCCAAGACGTGAGAGGACAAGCGGTGTGAATTGGAAGCTGTGAAGGCATGCGAGTCATGTGAATCATGTGAACCGATGCGCTTGCTTTTTCAAGAGATGTCGAGCTCGCGTCGGCTTCCGCATGGCTCGAAGCTTTCTAGCTTGCAAGCTGAACCACGCCACTTGCAGTGTTGCAGGTCACCAAGAAGCATTGACAGTATTGCGTCACATGGAGGCGTTTAGTGGTGCCACAGCCAGCCACTGGCGCATGAACTCAAACAGATAACCTAGGTGGAACGAGCTTCACGGCTTCGATAGCGGCTCAAAGCGCCATGGTTGGTTTTTGAGCCCATGCTTTGCCCAAGAGGCCATGCTACAACTTCTGAAGGAAAGAAGCTGCGCCTTTTCTCCAGGTATGACTGTGATGTATGCCATGAGAAAGTGTCACAGAGAGGTGGGGTCTACCACAAGTGTGCCGCTGGCTGTGATTTCCGGGTGTGCGGCTTTTGCAAGAAGGAGGCAGAGCGAACCAACTATTTCGTGGAGCCCTGCACATTTGCGTTTCCTGGTGGTCTAGGCCCATTTAACGTCCAACGCACTCGCTTGCAAGCAGAAGACCTGGCAGCGGGACGCGGGGCTTGGACTCTTCGGAGCTCGTTCTTCCGTCGGGCTCCGAGTCTCCAGCGATGCTGGGAAGCGCTCCTCCAGAACGGGGTGACCGACGGGCAAGGTGTCACCGTGCACTTGTCACCCCTTGCGCCGGTGAAGCTGAGCTCAGAAGTCCGACAGGCGAACAGCATCCCAGATGTTCCTGGGGTCATGGTGGCGTGGATGTATGCGCTTCAATTGGAGTGGCACATGATCCTCAGCGAGGCTGATGGCCACGAGAACGACGCCACAGCAGAATTATCCTTCTTGAAAATTGGAGGGTTAGTGTACTTTCGCCCAGAAGGGAGATCAGTTCAGGCGGTTTGTGCGAATTCTATTTTCTTCCACCCCAGTGGCTGCATGCAGTTCTCTGCTCCGCAGCCGTGGTGTTCCGAGTGGACTGCCAAGTTGGCAGAAGCCAGGCGGTTTCATCAGGTCACGGCGGTAAAATGGGCAGGTTCTGGTGCTCGCTACGTTTGCTGGATTTGCCCAGAGGAGAAGCTATTACATCCTGGTGCGCGTCATGGGGGCTTTGCCTTCATTTTTCACGAGCTGGATGAGGAGGACATGGCTGGCAGGGACAGATTTTTTGAAGTGGTTGGGGCTCCAGTCAGCAGTGAGGCTCGCACTCAGCAATTGCTTTCGAAGCTGCCGGCTGTGCATCGGCCACCGGAGATTCTCCAGTCAGCCCTGCCTTTCCGAGCCGTGGGCGAGCTACCCGCCACGACGCGACACGTGGCCGCCAGTCAGCAGCGCTGCTTCAGGGCCGCGAGTGATGGGCGCTGGGCACTCCTCGCACACATCCTCTCCGAGTTTCCTCAGTTGGCCACCGTGGTGGATGACGAAGGCGCACTGACATGTCAGATTTTGCTATGTCAGGGGGTCCCTCAAAACGCTCAAAAGGGAGGATACGGACCAAGTTGACGCTCACATGTTTTTACATTGGGCTTGTCTGGGGGGTGCGCGCGCGCTCTGAGGCCAAACGGTTCTGCATCGCATCGCCTTAGGCAGGCCAAAGACAAGACGTGCTGCCGAGCTCCTGCGGCTGGTGCACTCGCACGGCGGAGACTTGGACGCTCGGGACGGCAAGGGGCAGAGCCTTGGCAATAGCTTCGGCTTGATGGCTCGGGCCCTGTAGAATTGCAGAAGGCCTGGCATGTGCATTGCATACCGCGTGCAGCCAAGGAGAGCTTATGATTTGGGGGATCTTATCTTCAAGGCTCAAGCCTGCGAGATTTGGGGGCTGGCTCCAGATCTCTTTGCCGAGCCTGAGGCTAGGGTAGCCTGGGTAGGTTTGGATGGCGTGCAGTTGTTTACGCAGTGAAGTTGCAGCCCTGAAAGGTCTGGTTTGACTTCTTTGATGTCAACAAAGATGGCCACCTGTCACCACAAGAACTGGTGCCTGCTTTGATCGCCGCGTATGAAGTCGGCGACCTCGGCAAGCAGTGGATTGAAAGCTATGTAAACACTCACTATCGTGAGATGGCCGCGCTGGACCCAGGAGCGCTTTTGACGAAGAGGGCGTTTATGGGGAACGACGGCCTTCTGCACAAGCTGCAGTCCAGCGACGAGTTTATCAGTCTGCGAAGCCAGGAGGACACGCCACGCGCGCGGATGCCGGCGTTGTTCAGAACGGGCCGCAAAAAGCCGACGGCAGCAGACCAGGAAGCGGTGAAAGTTTTCAGCGCACGGCTGGAACAGCTCCAGCGGAGCTTTGGCTGGGAGCCTGGCAAGACCCCGTCCACAGCGCGGAGTCTGGAGGTGTCTGCGCCCTTTGCTGGTGGTGACGCGGATCCGCAGCGGCGGCTCAAGGCCGCGGAGCAGATGCTGGCCTGGTCCTTCGCCAAGACCACGGCTAGGACTGGCAGGGAGTGGCTGCAGGGCTTTAAGATCCAATTCACCGGCGACGACGCCGGCATTGATCACGGTGGCCTCACCAAAGCCTGGGTGCAGGAGCTTGGTCATGCGCTTTGGGGCAGCGAGACCTTCTTTGACACACATGCGGCTGGAAACTTTTTTAAACTTGACAGCACTACTGATGTTGTAATGCATGCCTTTCATGTGAAGGCAGAGTCCTTGTACAGATGGGTTGGTCACTTTCTCGCCTATGCTGTTTATCAGGGCTGCGTCTTGGACTGTGCTTTAAGCCCATGGGCGCTGCGGTGGCTTATGCGGGTCAGCGACACACAGGCGGCCTTGCCCTCCATTTTGGCAGCAGTGGCGGGATCCTGGAGACGTGATGGGGACGACACCAAGATCGCAACCATCTCTGGATCTGTGCTCCTATCGCACATGGATGCTTGGCCTCTTTGGTCCTGTTTCACGCCGAAGAGTCAGGTTGAATTACATTACCCCCCCGTAATCAAGGAAGTTTAGCAGGAACTTCATGTTACGGACATGAATTGAAGGTAGTTTTGAGAGCAGATAAGATGAAGAAGGATGAATGCATGCGAGAAAGCATGCGTGGGCGTGGGGGAATCCGCGAAAAAGAGTCTCCGGCGGGCTGAAAGCTACCTCGGTCGCGACTGCGGATAAGTCTCAGAACAAAGAAAGAGGACAAGAAGACGACGTAAAAAAAGAGAGAAAGAGAAAGGAGACAGAAGGAGAGAGAGAGAGAGAGAGAGGAAAAAATGGGGGAGGAAAAGAGAGAAATAACAAGAGAACTACATTTAATATAGTCCTTACAGTTGAAACTTGTGCCAACATACTTTTACGAACGGATAACTATCAATGAGGCTCCAGTTATTCGCAAACTCAAATTTGGAAGGCGATTCCAGATTACAAGTTTTAGTTTGATTTCATACTTGAAGATCAGGGAGAGGTGTTGTTTGTTTACTCAAATAGGTCGGGATTTTCAATAGGTGAAGGGATTAGGTATGCTTGCTTGTTCTTGCTTTATGTTGCGTGCAGTTTGTTTATTCGATTCTGCCTCAGCTGCTGCAGGACAAGCAGGGGCTGCCTCCAGAGATACAGCTTCGTGCGTCAGGTAGGCGCATGTATTCTGTCAGTTTCCCTCGGGCTGCGTGCGATGGGTCGAGGCAAGCAGGCAAACGGCCCTGGCCAGGTGATCGGATAGAGGCGGACTTTGATGGCGACATTGAGAGCGCAGAGTTGGTCGAGGGCAGAATCCACTGGAGCGATGGTGATGTCTGGCTGCGTTGCTCGGACAGCCCGGTGCATTTGCACGCAGCCTTGCCGGTCTACGAACCCACGGCTGCTGGGGATGATCAGCTTTTGGAAGACCTTGCGACCATGGACCCAGCCATGGCCAACAGTCTCTGGCGTGTTCGCTATGAGATGCCTGAAGAGGACCTGCAGTGGCTGACCTTCTCTTATGCTGGGAAGGAGCTTGTGCCCGGAGGCGATGACAAAGAGGTTGATGCATCCAACCGTGCGGAGTATGTAAGACTCTGCTGCAAAGCCGCGTTGATGTACTCCTCACAGAGGGCGCTGCAAGCCTTCAGCGATGGCTTCTTTGACGTTCTTCCGCCCAGCATGTTTCAAGGGGCTCCGGTGGACATCTTTCAGTGGCTTTTGCTGGGCAATGCTCAGATTTCGGATGGGCAGATAGACAAGCTGGAGCAACTAGTTATACCAGATGGGCTGGTGCCAAAACACCTCAAAGATAGCGCTGAAGTGATGGACTCTGCCAAGTGGGCCTTTCAAATCATACGAAGGGGTGATAACAACTTCAGGCGCGCCTAGGGCTGTGTTCTTGCAGAGCATGGGCTATGGGCCAACCTGGCATCATGTGGGGCAACTAGCTTCTCTTTCTGTGCATGTGTGATGTGTGCATGTCCGTGTATGCGAAATATTGATCCTGCATGATTTGACTCTGCTCTTGTAAGCCAACATGCCCGCGTGACTCAGCACTCGGCGCCCCTTTGCGCACGTGTTTGCAGCTGGCATGTCTGTCAGTTTGCACGCCCGGTTAAACAGCTGGGGTTGCTCAAGAGCGGCAGGTCAAGGCTCTTCGAATTCTGGACGGGCAGCGGGCGACTTCCTCTTGGGGGTGTGGAGGCCATCGAGCCGAAGCCCAGGCTGCAGGTGATGGTCTCTCAGGAGAAGCAGCTGGTGCCCGCAACTGGGCCGTTGCTGGGCCTTTGCTGGCCACAGGGGCAGGATTCAGTGGGTAGGATGTCGGCATATGTCGGCTAATTGAAAGTGGCCCTGCGGACGGCCAGCCAAGGCCAACTACGTTTGGGACGTGCAGATTCCAGGTGGCTGGCGGGAGTACAGCCCGCAGATGTGTGCCAACCTGACGAACATGGCTGAGGCTGGCCTGAGGACGGGTGAAAGCTCTGGCTGCATGTGAGACACGTGTAACTATAGTTTGGTAGCTAATGGCATGGCCCATGCCAGCCCTGAAGGATGTGCGAGTTTGGCACGGGCCATGCAATGGTAGTGATTGATCTCGGCTCAGCACTGAGTTGCTTGGGGCCAATCATTTGAATCATCCGACTTGGTGACATTTAGTGACTCAATGCGTGAAACTGTACATATATCTCCTTGGTAAAGCTGTTTAAAGCCCAGGGGCTGGCCTACAAATCAGCAGACGCACGGGGGAGCGACGCCGTATCCGGCGTCGGCAATTGTGCCTTGCCCGAATGAAAACGCATTGCCCTGTCGCACATGGCAGCTCCAAGGCAGTCGGATGAGAGCAGCGTGCCGGTCATCGTTAAGAGGATTCCGGATCGTACTCATGCATTGGCTTCACTGGCATTCGTGCAATCCAACGCTGTTACCAGAGATGCAGGATTGACTCGTGGCCAAAGACTCGGCTACCAGAAGGGCTACCCGACGGAAGGCATTCCTTTTAGGACGATTGGCGTTGCTTTCATTATCTGTGCAAACACTGGCATCTTTGGAGGGAAGGCCTCTCGATGGGCAAATCCGAGGCACACCTGCGGCAATGAGTTGTGGATTCCCTTTTGTGACTCAGAGGAGGAGTTGGCCAGACACTCAGCCCCATGCCATTCTGAAGGAACAGGAGGAACTGCCCTTCCGATCACCTCTCGCACTGCACACCCAGCTTGCTTTGTCTTAGCCATTCGGTTCGAGCATAGCGAGCCGACATTGGTTGTTTGATGCATATCCGTTCATATCAGTGGCTTGGCCGAAATGGTGTCAACGTGCAGCCTGGCCAGCTCTGGTTGGCAATATGTGCACGTGTGTTGGACTCTGCCATAAGTAGCCGGAAGCAATGTAGAATCATGCACGCACACACACACACACAGGTGGAGTGTCGGCCAGCTACAGTAGTGGCAGCATGCCTTTCTTCCTGCATTTCCAAGGGCATATTTGTACGCACCGAAACCACACTGCCGCTGGGGAAAGTTGTACAATGCTCATACAACATGTCAGATTTAGAAATAGGTGTCTAAAGCCCAATTGCTGGGAGTACATGAATCTTGCCCCTTGAGCATGCCAACCAGCTTTTCGTTGCCAGGCCATGGTGTGGAACACCCAAGGCTTGTTCCACTTGACGCTTGGATCCTTGACAGCAACCAGATTGCCAGCCACAAGTGTTTGCATCCTGTGGCGCCCAGGCTTTAGTTCCTTTTTGCTGGTGCTCGCGAGCAGCATCGAAGAGTCACAGAGACCAAGGCAATTTCCTCAGTTTCTTTGCGCGTTTCTTTCGTTTCTTCGCTGCCACTTTGGGCCCCCAGGCATGTCAAGCTTGAAGTTGATGCGCACGGCGGACCCAGGGCTTTGATGCGCCAAGAGGCTTGGCGGGCATGGGTCACACACACACACCAAAGGCGTGCAACGTCACCGGTTCCTTGACTTGCCTGTGGCTGCACTGTTTGGCCTTGGCCGTTCGTTGGTCAATTGATTCTTTTTGGCATCGCTTTGCTCAAGCTTGCTCAGCATTGCTCGGTTAGCTGGTTTGTGTGCGTGTTGTCAACTTTGGTGGTTCAGGTGTTTGTGATAATTCCCCGGTTCGGACCGGTTGTTTGTGAGTTTTTCCCCACATCTTTGTGTGGGGTTCTTACTTTTACCGCTGCGCGCCCGTCCGCCGTCCGCCGTCCGCCGTCCGCCCGCCCTGCCGCCCTGCCGCCCACCGTCCGCCGTCCACCACACACTGGCTCACTCACTCACTCACTCACTCACTCACTCACTCACTCACTCACTCACTCACTCACTCACTCACTCACTCACTCACTCACTCACTCACTCACTCACTCACTCACTCACTCACTCACTCACTCACTCACTCACTCACTCACTCACTCACTCACTCACTCACTCACTCACTCACTCACTCACTCACTCACTCACTCACTCACTCACTCACTCACTCACTCACTCACTCACTCACTCACTCACTCACTCACTCACTCACTCACTCACTCACTCACTCACTCACTCACTCACTCACTCACTCACTCACTCACTCACTCACTCACTCACTCACTCACTCACTCACTCACTCACTCACTCACTCACTCACTCACTCACTCACTCACTCACTCACTCACTCACTCACTCACTCACTCACTCACTCACTCACTCACACTCACACACTCACTCACCCCCTCACTCATTCACTCATTTACTCATTCACTCACTCACTCAGTGTGTTTGTGTGACCGGGGCAGCATTTGGCAGCTGTCTGTAGGGACAGGATGTTGTCTCGCGCGCGCGGCTCGGGGCGCGCGAAATCGTGGCAGGCGTAGCACTTTGGAGATGCCATTGCCGAAATCGTGGCAGGCGCAGCATTCTGTGCATCCGGGCGCATGTTCTGTGGCAGGGGCAGCATTTGAGCAGCTGTCTAAAGGGGCAGGATGTTGTCGCGAGCGCGGCTCGGGGCGCGCGAAATCGTGGCAGGCGTAGCGCTTTGGAGATGCCACGGCTCGAGGCGCGCGAAAGCGTGGCAGGCGTAGCACTTTGGAGCCATTGCCGAATCCGTGGCAGGCGCAGCTGTCTGTGCATCTGGGCGTATTTTCTGCGGCAGGGGCAGCATTTGGCAGCTGTCTAAGGATGTTGTCGCGCGCGCGGCTCGGGGCGCGCGAAATCGTGGCAGGCGTAGCACTTTGGAGATGCCACGGCTCGGGGCGCGCGAAAGCGTGGCAGGCGTAGCACTTTGGAGACGCCATTGCCGAAGCCGTGGCAGGCGCAGCAGTCTGTGCATCTGGGCGTATATCCTGTGGCAGGGGCAGCATTTGGCAGCTGTCTAAAGGGACAGGATGTTTTCGCGCGCGCGGCTCGGGGCGCGCGAAATCGTGGCAGGCGTAGCGCTTTGGAGATGCCACAGCTCGAGGCGCGCGAAATCGTGGCAGGCGTTGCGCTTTGGAGATGCCATTGCCGAAGCCGTGGCAGGCGCAGCCAAATGGTTTCATAAGTTGAGCTACCCAATAGATGTAAGTGCCGGGTTTCTTAATAAGCATAGACATGTGGGGTTTTTCCGGTCCTTTAATTGTGCGTGTGCTTGGTTGGCTCGTTCGTGGGTTTTATTGAGGCTTGGACAGGTTGCTTTGGGTCAGCTCAGCGATTCTGTGCCGTATTCTTGCAACTCTTGGAAAGTGCGCCTAATCGTCCGACGTAGGCGCCTGAGGGTTGCAGCGCGTGGTGGCAAGGTCAACATGACCGTCGTGCACATTTAATTCCGATCGTTAAGTAGAAGACTGAATGCATGTGTTCGCTCCCAGCCTCCTTCACACACCGCGCTGGCTGGTGCTGGCAGGATCACAGTGCCACCCACGATGCAGAAGAGGGGCCGCAGGACACGATGTGGGCAAGGCACCTTGGCAAGACTGTGCGACAACCAATCATGTGTGAGCGTGATGTTGGCCTGCAGTACAGGTTTTTCGGAACTGGAAGCAACTTGGCTGATCATTCTGAATGGCTCTTCGTTTGTTTGGGGCTCAGGTGCCATGAGTGTGGCGCCCCAAGTTCAGCTTTTGGCAGGTGCATCTATTCCGGATGTGGCTGCGTCCTCTGCCAGTGCAACCAACGGAACGATGACCGAGAACCTCACGATGGCCGAGAACCTCACAAAGCTAGAAAACATTTCGAAAGTCGTGCTGGGCAGCATGGAAGTGAATGGGACGAACCTGTCGTCCCTGACAGATGCAGTTTTAGCTAAGCTCACAAACACTGAACAGGACCGGGCCGAGGACGCAAAGAGGGTCAGCTTCACTGGCCTTGCGTGCAGGACTGCAAAGACACGTGGGAGCCAGAGTGGAGTACTTTGACTGCTGAGGAAAACTGTGAGAACTGGGCTTCCTGGCAAAAGAGTGGCTGATGTTCTTGTCCGTTTGAAGAAGAGAAGTTGTTTTCGCTCCAGGCAAAGGACAGTGGCTGGGGTGCGCTTTCCTCCGCATCATCACTGCAGAGCGCTTGCTTAGGCGAGGGGGCTGACTCACAGGGATCAAACTCGTGCATAGTTTGGGGCAGAGCTCCTTTGACTGCCCTGCCAGGCGAATGGGCGCAAGTAAATTGTATGGCAACTTGTGGCTGCGCAGACGTTTGGCAGCAGCGGGCAGCTTGAGGCACAAAGACCAATCACAAAGGCAGATTGCATGACCTAGTGACTGACACGGCACCGCAAAGCAAAGCACTTTGCCATTCAAGCTCTTCGCCCGGCACCAGCGGCGCTGGCTGTCTTGCAGGGAACAACCGTTCTTTGTGGGCTCTCCACTCCCCCCCTGTCAAAGAGACTGCAATATATTGGCTAAACGGGTATGTCCTGCTTGGCCCCCCAGGGATGCGTAGATGTTTTGTATGTGTGTGTCGGCTTACGTTGCACCTCGTCGTGAGCTTGGTGGCGTACCCCAACCTGTCACAGGGTTCGAGGGCACGAAGCAAGCCGCCCGCAGGCAGCTAGTTCTCAGGGTTGATGCGGCCTGCGGCCGCGTTCTCCTCAGGCTGCGGGTTTGCAGCCCCACCTCTTCGAATGGCGATGCCAAGACGGCAACGGACCTCCGCCCCCCGAATCCGCCCCGTCTGACGGAGCAAGGCCGCGCACTCAGCCTCGGACATCCCCCCATCCCAGCCCAACCGGGCCGCAAGCTCCGAGTCAGGACGGGGCAACAACCGAAACTCCTCAAACGCCCGACGCCCAAAGCACATGCTCCAGAGCCGGCGCCACCATCATGCCACAATAGGGCAACTCTGCGGCCGCACAGACACATCCGCAGTGGCAGGGGTCCGCATCCCCCCCACCAACACCGCCGCAGCATCACCTCCAACCTGCGACACCAACCCACGCAGCTTACGCCCCAGCCGCTCGGAGTATTGCACCCCGGCCGGCTGGCGACCCAGCTTCTGAACTGAGTTTCTCTCCACGTCTCCCGCAGCTTGTGAAGCTGCGCCTCAAAACGACCGGCTTCCTGCTGCACGCAAAGCACGTGGCCATCGCCCTGAGGAAGCCCGGTGCACTGCGCCAAGGCTTCCTCATGCACCGCCCCGTCCTAGGTCAAGTACCGCTTGTGGTCCCTCCACTGCGCGCGCAACGTACCCAACACTGCAGCCGGCACGCCCCGCTGCTCCAAGACCCAAAGCGCAATGCTCAACTACAACGACCTTCTCGAAATCCAGCGACACCGCAACCTCGTGATCTTCCAGCAACCCGTCGGCCTGCGCCTCCAACAGCAAGTGCTGCGGGGAAGTCGCCCCGGCCCCACCAGCCCCAGCATGGACGATCGAAACCGCCCGCCCACCTCCGCCTGCTTGGCCCTGACCGCAGCCAACACACGATAGACCGTCGGTCCTATCGATATCGGCCTCACCTTCATAGTGGGCGTGGGGCCCGCCGTTCGGCAAGTGCACCACCCTCCAGGCCAAACAACGCCTGGGGCCAGGCAGCTTGCTTCTCGCAAGCCTCCAGAAACCCCACCAGTTGGGACCACGCCTCAGACGGCAGCTCAAGAAGCAACGAGGCGCTCCAACCATCGCAACCAGCCGCCGTGTGGCTTGCTTTATGCGCCGCCGCGCGGCACGCCTCAACG